GAGAGAGAGAGAGAGAGATTTGACAAAAGGAGTATTTCCATCTTACATTTTGCAGACCTGTTGGTGTCATCTGGCTTAGTAGAAAGACAGCTGAACCCTCAGATCATTTATAGTGCATACTACACACCCACTGATTCAAAACTACCCTCACATTCCTAAGAACATGGAGAACTTAGGAACACCTTTGAATTATGAGAAGAATTGGTTGAACCTTGAGTTCTCCCACCCAGAAGTGTCTCTGAGATACCCAGGGCTTATAGACCACATCTAAGAACAGCTGGTCCTGAAGACAGGAATAGAAGTAGTGGAGCGAGTTCCCAGATCCCCAAGGATTTGACTCCACGTCTCCACTGATTTCAGACATCTGTAGAGCGGGGGCACTCATGAAGATCAGCATCCAGAGGATGAGCTGCCCTTCCTGCCCCAGGTAGACTGAATGCCCAGTGTGCCTTTCTCAGCACAGGTTGTCACAGACCCAACCTGCAGACAGTTTGAGCACACATCTGTGGGGTCCAGGAGCCAGAAGAACCACCCCATGGACATTGAAAGGACTCCTATGATTGTACATTGTGTTACAGAATATGCAGGGGTAGGAGTGGGGGACACGTTCACTGGAGGCCTATTAGAGACACACTCTATCAGGGCACTTGATATCAGATCAGACAATGCTCTGACACCAGCGTTTGCTGTCTGTATTGCTCTCAGCGGTGTCAAGCGGCAGTTAATTTCTGCCTGGGTGATATGCATCACGGATTTCACAATGTGTCTAGGCGTAAATGGTAATTTTTTTTTTTTTTTTTACAAAGTACTCAGCAGTCAATTTTAAATAAAGATAGTATCTCGGGAAAGTTGTGCATGGTAATAGTTCTATAACCTTCCCCAGCCACTTCAAAGAAATGAAATATTGATTATTTTTGCAAGAATCTTAGCATAACTCTGCTCTTTTCTTTCTAAGAACCTCGATAAACACTACTTACTCTGTTATCAGATATCTAAAGCTGGGCCCTTCAGGAGGAGGGCTTGAGAGTACAGGGACAATAAAAAGGCATTAATTAAAAACACTAACACTTTAAAACAGCAGGAGCATAAAATTGCTCAAGAAGAAAATAATGCCCTTCTCCCCAGCTTCTCCAAATAGAACAGTCTAAAAGGCTGTTTCATGTTCTGGATCTCAATAGTGTGTGTGTGTGTGTGTGTGTGTGTGTGTGTGTGTGTGTGTGTGTGAAGGAGGCATGCTTGTGACTTGAAAGGATAGTCCACCAAGGTCAAGTGGAAGGACACTTTCTCACTTGCTCCCGTCCCCCTCCCTTTGGATATGACTACAAAGTCTCAGCACATGGAAGGAGAAATGCCTGTCTCCCGACAGCCACCCTACACCAAGGTACGCATTTTGCATGTGGAGGCAGAAGCCCATCCGCACGCAGTGAGAACACCAAGCCTTTGCCTCTCTACAGAAAACAAGTATCGTTTTCTACCATCCTACATATGAGTAAACTGTACCAGAGGCTTAGGCACGGCTTCCCCAAGACCACACAACAAGTTGGTGCCAGAGAGCCAGAGAGTGCTTCCAAACCTGGTGCTTGCAAGGATACATTGGCATGCATATTGTCTTGCAGCTGAATCAGGCATGCAGACTTCAGTGCCCTAGAGTTGTTATTGACTCCCCTTCTGTCTCCCCATGCTAGACACACGCTTGTTTTGTAAAAAGGATGATGTTTCTATCCTCCTGGTTGGGGGCTCTGGTGATCAGGAACATTCCTTTGAGGTATCCCCAGGAAGGTCAACCACTAGCTTTGACTCTGTGTATATGCCGAACCCCCAGGTGAGACTGCTTCTCTAGTGTCAACATATTGGAGTCCTATATACATGCCAGAAGGCTCCAGACTTTCTCCCCTACATGCGATGCTTCTCATCATTGCCTGACCTGAACTGGTAAGGCAGGAGCATTGTGCGAGTCCCACGGGGTGCTTGGCTCAGGCTGCCTAGTGGCTGGCAGGACAGCAGGTAGGCAGTCTGTCTTAACAGTTCCAGAAAGAGACAGAACCACAGCCACAGAGTGACAGCCTGTAAATTAGCAGGTTCCTGGCCTCAGCTACATGCAGACAATGGAACCCGGGTGGGGCTGACAGATATAGCATTTTAAATCAAACTTTCATGCCACCATGTCAGCCTTCTTGGGGTAGCATGTCTCTTCCCCTCTCTTCCAGCCCCTGGAACACAGAGAACAAAAAAGATCAGGGCATGGGTGAAGTACAACCTATGTATGCTTCCTGCTTCCCAAGGTCCCGGGAGACAAATGAAGAGGCAGCTGTGGGCTAAAGATCACTGTGTGCCTGGAACACCTGCAGGAAGAACCCTGTGACAGTGGCTCAAAGACCCAATGGGCTTCTTGATCCTGAAATATATGAATATGCTCTACCCTGACCACACTCTATTCCTCCCACCCTGATGTTGCTCGTATTCAAATACAAGCTTGTCTCCTGGTTTGACACCCATGTGCAGAGTAAGCCAAGAGCATATTGTCATAGGCAGAATGTCACAGGGCTGTATGTACAGGTGGGAGTCAGAGCTCTTGTCCTGCTCTGGAAGTAACTAAGAGCTCTCTAGCCAAAGCCCAATTCTCTGAGCCTTGGTACCAAAACTGTATGATGTATGGTCCCTAGAGCCCCTTCTGGGTGCAACCTTCTATAAAGCAGCATCATAGAGACAGCTCTCGGTTATCCCACTGAGCGTGTTCATGGGAGTTGTGCACAGTTTTCTATTTCACCCAGTACTAGTACCTCTGGGCCCCAGGGAGCTTGGCACGGTTATGATTTCCAGTTTACAAAGGAAAAACTCAGACTCAGTGGTTGATTCACATGCAGCAAGGCACACCGATGGCAAGAGAAAGAACCAAGATTTCAACCCTGTCAGCCACACCCCAGCCTCCCCCAGTGATCCTGAGGCCAGCCTGCCAGCAGCCAGCCCTGTGTGGCTTTCAGAGTTAGTCCTGCCTACCTAGGCTTGTTCCAGGCTTGTCATAATCGCACCCCATTTCCCAAAGCATACCCAATCAGAGTTGGAGTTCTGTGAGGGTCCCTTCCCCTTTCACAACCCTTAGCCAGGGCACTCAGGGGTAGGGAAGCTCTAGTCTAACCAAAAACTGGGTGAGACTGCGCAAAGCCACTTCTATTTGATTCCATTCAGGAAAGGAATGGCAGCTGTGCCGAGCAGGGAGGGTTTTTTTTCCCTTGCTGTTACTGTTGTTTTTAATTCAAGCAACTAAGCTTAGCTCTTTATTAAGCAAGATGTGCTTTAGAAAAGGAAAACAAAATAAAGACTCAGACCCCTCAGGCTCAGTTCAGAGCCACATGATTCTAAGCATAGAGGAGAAAGCAGGAATCAGCCTGCTGTGGAAGTGCCAGGAGCTGATTCCCACCATGCCTAACCAGACCAGGCACGCAGAAATGACAATCAAGCCTGCCAAGTGTGGTACGGAAAGGCAGAGGCCTGGTACCCAGGCCAAACCCTTGGCTAGATGTAAGAGGGATGTGGAGGGGAGGGATCGGCAGAGCAAGATACAGAGAAGGAGCCAGAAGGAGCAGTGAGGAGTGTCTGACCGGTCCTTGTGCTTTCTCTTGGCAGCAGCAGCAGCAGCAATGAGGAGAGCCCTAAGCAAGAACTCCCACCTTGGAACAACTCCCGTGTCCCAGAATTGCAGGGTAGTAACACCAAGTGGACATCTCCTTTGGAGCTCTGTGTGCTGGGCCATGGGCTGCAGCCAGAAGCCCGAATGACCCGCAGCCAAGACAGATCCCAGCCAGAGTCACAGCCCCAGCACAAGGACGTATCGTGACAGGTAGCCAGTTGGGTCACACCGATGCCAGTCACCCTAGAACATATGAAGTACTAGTGACATGTTCACACTGCACCATGGGTGGTAGGCAAATCAACTCACACTGACGTTGTCTTGGAAAGACCTCAAAGACACCCCACCAAAGGGTCTCCAAAATCGTAAGCAACAACTGGATTCACCTCCAGATCCTGCTCTGCCTTGGGTTTAAATGTCAGTGAAAACTTTAGATCCCACACCGATACCCTTTATCTTTTCAAGTGCTGGCCTTAATTAGAGGGATAATATATTCATGCTTAGAGGGCCATGCGTCTTACAAGGTGACTGGTGGAAATCATGCGACATCTAAACCACAACACTGTGTGAAATAGTGTCTTCCAGTTTTACAGATAAGAAAACCAAATGTGTTGGCAGAGGGGCCCCCATGAGTCATTCTGGGGTTCAGACAGATGTGAGAATGGAGCAAAACCGGGTACAGATGTGGGTGGCCTTAGACTCTGTGTTCTTCATTATGTTCCATTGCCTTTGAACACTCCATCATTGTACCTGCCTATGGCATAAGAATTAAGAGAATAAAGAGAAGCCTTTTTAATTTAAGGTGAAAATGGTATGATGGTTAGTGTTTGGTCATGTCTGTGACACATTTTCTTTTTCTTTTTTTGGGGGGTGGGCACACACAAGGATTTTGTGATGGATTTTCTAGGTTGAGTTTGCTGAGGGAGGAAGACCTATCCCACTGTAAGTGGTACCATTCCATGGAGGGGGAGGGTCCTGAAGTGCAGAAAGAGGAAGGCAACTGGCTACCAGCATTCATTTCCTCCTGCTTCCTGGAGGAAGATCCAGTGTGACCAGCAACCTCCAACTCCTGCCACAGCCATGATGGACTATGTCCCCCAACCTGTGAACCAAAATAAACCCTTCCTCCCTTACGCTGATTTTGTTAGGATATTGTGTCCCATCAAGGAGAAGAGTAACTAAGACAAGTGGTAACACAACATTGAAGTCTCAATTAAAAGCTTTATTTAGAAGTGAATTGTTCCTGGCATGGAAAAATGAGAGGGGTTAGAACATCTAGCCCCTCCAACCCACCCCTGCCCCTGCTCCCCATGCCAATGCTACAAACGTAAAACTTCCAGCTCCTGCTTGCAGCCTCTCCTCCCTCTGCCTCAGAGTGTATCAAATTCTCCAGCTGAGCTAAGCACTCACATGCTTTTTGGTCTGAGTGAACACAACCAAGCCTCCAAAGCAAGAGGCCTGTCCTTTGCACCAGGTGGGGGCTGACGCTGCAGAGGCAGGAAGGGTATGATGTAGGCTTTCATGCCTGGCTACCTGAAGCTTCTTGCCAAGTTTATTCCTAGGTCATCTGCAGAGAAGTTCTGCTGGAGCTAGAAGCAAAGCAAAGAAGCCCTGTTCATGCCCCAAGCCCTGCTTCTGCCAAACAGCTAGATACTTGCTTGCAGATCCTGGAATTTTTCCATCAGGAGCTGTAGAGTACTTTCTATTTAGAAAAGAATTTGCTGTAATTGGGTGATTCAGTGCCTGCTCAGTGGGTTGTCAAAAGACAAGAATTCTCACCCACGGGTACAGCTAAGCAAGCCAAACTTACCAGATCTGCTGCAAAGCTGATGTTTCAAGTTGAGAAAATTATAGACCTCAAATCTTTGTTGTTGTTGTTATTGTTGCTGCTGTTGCTGTTGTTGTTGTTGTTGTTGCTGTTGTTAATGACCTCGAGCACAGGTTCTACTGGGTCCTGGAGTTTCCAGCTATCCCCTGTTCTTCTCTCCCCAGGTCAGACTTGTGACTCTGACTACATGAATCTCATGTGAATTTATCATGTTATCAAAATGAGAGTGACAGGGCTTAAATCTTCAATGACACCAGAATCGCCATTGTTTAAACAAATGACCAAGAGGTGCCATGCTTGCCCCTGATTGGCAGGCTCATGTTTGTCAGTGGTGCTGTGTTGACTTCAGAGCAATACCTGAGCCATGGGTGTAGTTCTGGGATGGAGTCGAAAACACACTGCCTTCAATCTGGGTACCACCCAAAATGGTTGGCAAGCAGCTTGGGGAATAAGCAGGTAGGACTGGGCAAGCCCAGCACATCAGGGCAAGCCTAGCACATTAGGGCAAGCAGAAGCAAGCCATGCAAGTCGCCTTTGACAGCTTACCCAATGCACTGGCTTCAGGGACCACTGATTGGCAAATAGCTCATGACCGGTTTTAAGAGCTAGAACATCAGTTCTCAATCTATGAGTCCCAACCCCTTTGGAAGGGTCATATGTCAGATATCTTGCATATCAGATATTTACATTATGACTCATAAAAGTAGCAAAATTATAGTTACAAAGTAGCAATGAAATAATTTTCTGGTTGTGGGTCACCATAACCTGAGGAACTGTATTAAAGGGTCACAGCGTTAGGAAGGCTGAGAACCACAGGTTTAGAAGTAGATTCCTGAGGTTCTAATGAAACAAGGCAGAGCCCCAGATGTTGGGATTACACAGACACAGAGTAGATGAAATTGAAGTGTAGGGGACCCTGTCGGCAGAGAAATGATCCAGGTGAGGTAAGAAGGAAACTCAGTTCAGCTCAAATTAGTTAGCCAGTGCTGAGTCAAACTTCTGGAGTCTGATGCCAAGTGGTTTAAGTTTTTACAGTAAAACTTTGGAAAAAAGAAAGTTTCCTCATGACAGTTATCACAACAAATTTTTAGTTGTGGCTAAATCGAAACTCCTTTGCAAAGTACATCTCTTCAACAGAACCCAGTGACCCTTTACACCAGAATGGTTTCTATTGACTGAGGAGCAATGCTCAGGATTTGGGGGATTTAGATGAAGACTCCATGGACTAGCAGAAGGTCACCCAGTTATGAAACAACATCCACTCCAGCCTTCCAGGTGGAACAGGTGTCAGTTTCTTCCACTGCAGAAAGAAGCCCGAGTGTGTAACAATTCTGTTTCTCTAGTGCTTATTTGTGAGCATGTGAGCCTCTTGCTCACTACACTGGGTACAGGTAGATGTAACAGAAGAAGATTTTTTTAAAATTGTAGTTTTCTGGAACCCAGATGCAAAGATAAACCAGATAATCCCAGAGGAAGGCAGATCACCAACCCAGGCCTCCCTCATCTAAGGGCCCAAGTGTGGAAGTTCAGGTTAGGATGAGTACATTAGTGTCTGAGAGCCTCTAATGAAGCTGTGAGTGACAGAGGCACCAGCCTGAAACCAGAAGGCGTGCTACCTCAGAGAGTCAGCACCCTAGACAACCTCCCGAAAGAGCCAGGGATGAACTTACGTCATGCCCCATGAAGGTGCATGTTAGGGGCCTCCCAGAGACTAGGCCTCCCCCTCCCACATGCTATGCTGCAGGCCAAGACAGTGAACAGCAGCTTTCAAGCACTCTGTCAGCTATGCAGGCAGCTTCTCACCCTTCTAGAGGAGTCTGCATGGACTGAGAGCCTTGCTGAGTTGCCATATGTCTTTATATGTAATATAATGTGAGGCTCCAACTGCCACTAGACCCAAGAAGCAATGACCAAGTGCTCATATGGCCCAGTGGCCAATAGGCTATGGGAATTCTGAAGTACCTTCTACTAGAAGAGAATCACCAAAGCTAAGGATCTGGGAGCAAGAGAAGCAATGAAGTTCAAAGGTCCGACATGACGAGCTGAGGAAGAAGTAGACGCTTAGTCACCATTCCAACTTCACCTAGCTTAAGTTACCTGTGAGTTAAACCCCATACAAAAGAAATCAAACCCACTTCAAGCTGCTAGGCTTAAAGCATCAACTTCTGGAGACCAGGCCTTCCCCAAAAGCCATTGTCTCTGGTTCCGCCATAAGGAGAGCATTGCTGGTAGCATGAAGGGCAGGTTCAATTGCACAGGTTCTCAAAGCCTTTTACCTATGCTTACCCACTCGGTCAAAGAACCTTGCCTTTGCTGGAGCCAAATCCACTTCTTTTGCTCAAGAGAGAAGATAGCAATTTTTGTTTATTATTAAACCAGTGAGCCCAACCCATGAAGCACTCATGAATGTACTTTCCCACGGTAGAGTCAGAAACCAGCAAGCAACATCATTTCAATCTGACATTCTTCATACCAGACAAGGGGGTATCTCCACAGATCCGTGGGGTGCATCACACCCATAGTCTTAGTTGGGCTAACTTGCCTCTGGCGGTGCAGATACAGTCTTCATCCCCATGGCAACCTCAGAGCTATGAGGAGGGAGGTATCAGCCCAGCTTTTACCCAACACAGCAAACAGATACGCCCCGAGGGGAAAACACAATCTTTTATTTCCATCAAAAGCATCATGAAGGGAGGGAAAAAAAATGGTACAAATGTAGTATTCTGACAGAACTGTGATGGCTTTTTTGCAAGTATAAATACAATCCTCACAATGAGATATAACCTCTCTCTGTGGGCTGTGCTGTTGTTTACTATATGCTACATCTATTTTCCTTCCTTCTGCCACTCACCCAGTCCAGAACCTCAAATAATCCAAATGGATAGAAATGTACTGCAGACAGACCAAAGAGATGTTTTTCCCTTCCACTGCAAAGAGCTGATGCTCAACAAGGCTTGATTCATAAATCCTATCATGTGAATGGAAAGAGATTTTAGAAATGTATTCTTTCTTCTAAAATAAGCTAGTGTTTTGCATGTACCAGGGGAGCTGGTACAGTGAATTATGCGTGTTCACATGTTTGTCAATTGATCATCTGGTCGACCGCTTACAGGCTGCCAAGCACCCACTCTGTCTTCTGAAGGAAATCTTTTCAAAGGTAATATATTTTTAAGTAGCCCCACATCAAAGATTTTGTTGAACACCATAAAGTAAATGAGTTCTGAGTCTGTATTAACAGAACATGGTATATTGCACTACCGTTTACTTCCTGTGCCTACCTAAAGCTTAAATAAAGTCCCATCAATCCAGCCAGACATTTTTATGAAATGTAATTAAAGATGCATTGCACACGAGGAGGCACAAACAGTTAATTCACTCA